CATTCAAAAATGTTTATTTTATGCTAATCATAAGAATATCAAGATTCATTTTTCTTAGTAAGTTATGAAGAGGGCTTACTATATATATACACACACACACACACACATGTGTGTGTATGCATGTGTGCATGCGTGTGTGTGAATACATACACACATACGCATATACACATACACATAAACATACAAACACATACACTGTGTGTGTATATATATGTGTGCGTGTGTTTGTATATATACATATATATGAGCCATTTATTAATTGTGGATATATAAAGTACAATTTTAGTTTGGGCACTTTATCATCAATGGAAGGAAAACATATTTGTAATAGTTTAGTGCATGTTGTAAAGATTGTATCTTTTACTTTGCCCTGATGACAATGGAAAAGTCATGTGATCAAGATTGTCAAGATTGTATTCTAGCAATAAAGTTGGTTAATAGATGCGAGTCAAGTATTAACAAACTAAATAATAAAACATTAATTTCCTAAACATCCGTAATATTGCTTTGTGACATTCTGGTGCACTTTCTGTTGGCAATGATTTGGTGTTTCACACCTTTTGGTTGAGACAGACATACAACATTATCCTAGCAAGGGCATTACCAGCTGTGTAGTTAATACTGCTGGACATGGCTTATACAATATTTTAATCATACCCTAGAAACACTTCTGGTCTGCTTCCTTTCAGATAAGGCTAATGCATAATTTTAATATTGCATTTTGATCCACCACCACAGTAGCATGTGACCACCTCCAAACCTTGTTAAAAACACCAAAGGGAGCCAAACTGGATTGGGAAGTTAAACTAGGAGAGGGAAGATTTAACCAAGGGACAATTGCCCTGGCCTTTACCATCTCTACATCCACAAGACCATGTTCCTGAAACAAGGTGGCGTATTATCACGTTTCAGCAGCACATTTTTCTTCTTCTTCTTCAAAATAAAGATTTCAATAAGGTTAACTAGTTTCTTTTTCAAAAATCTATCAAACTGCCTCCAAAATTCAAAAAATTTAGGGTAATCTCTGATATTGTCATTGCAGTCTTGGTGGCTCACCTAGTTTAATCCTTATTTTCAGACCATTTTACTGATCTATATATAACATGCAAACAAAACCTCAGCTAAATAACAGGTGTCAAGTGCATTTATTGTACCAGCCTTTTCTTTTCCCTGTGAAATTATTTGCGGATGTATAGAGAGGATTTTGTTCTAAAACAAGGTACAGGGAATTGCTTTGATATCATTGCCCCAGTTCAGTTTGGAAGTGGGGTATCTGATTGCACTTTCCCCTTGCAAAGCCTATTTAACTTTCATGTGTATGCTTAACCAGACATTCACCAAGTATACTCTGGAATCATGGAAAACAAAAGTTAAGAAATTCAATTGCGGGTCTTCTGTGTCACATCAGTTTTGGCTCTATGAGTCCAAACACAGAGTAAGTCAACAAAATCTTCAGTTGATTTCTCTTACATTATAGCAAATGGGTTGCAATTCATGTATAAATATATCTTTTCCCCTTAGCTATTGTGGAAATGCAGCAGTCTGTAAAATTCATTATAAAAAAATCAGATCTTACCATTAATAAATACATATATTTTAGATAAAGGCTTCTTTTTTACTTCACTTGAGGATGGATATTTGCAGCTGTAATATCCTGTGTCAGTTGCTTGAGCTCTGTTCAAGGTCAGGCTGCTGCAAAACTGCTTGTTGTTCCTTCCACAAGCATAAGTCATTATATTCAACCGGTTGTTGTCCTTACTTAGAGTTTCAGGCAGAGACCAAGAATGGGGCACTTCTCCACTGCAAGAGCAGATTTTTAAAAAAGGTGAAAATTAGGACTGTCTAGCTTTCATTTTTATTACAGTTAGCTATTTTGGGGGTTCCCTGTAATATTCTGCAAAAGCAAAAATAATGCAAAATCAAAGAGTTATGAAGATAGTGCCCTTTTTACCCTACCAGTGAAGGGTCTCTCTCTCACTCAAGGAGTGCCAGCTTATGGTGCCTTGACACCCCATTGAGTGATGGCACCACTTCCTGCCAATGCAAGGATTTGCATTTTTAGAATGATTGGAAGAAGGGGCAGTGTTGGCACCCCCTAAACTTCGGCAGCCCAGGCCAGTGTCTGCTTGATCTTAGCCTAAAGCCAGCCCTGAACCCTAGATTAAAAATACAGTAACTAAAGGACAAGTGCAAAGGCCAGTTCAGCCAAGCTAATTACCTGCACATGATGTTTAAAGTATCTCCTTCTTGTATGACATGCTGTGCTCCTGTGATGTTTAATTTGGGACCTTTCCATTTGAACCCTGAACTAGATCCTGGAAACAAAACAGAAATATTATTAAAATCTCATTATCTTTGTATTGCTTCACAAATACATGCCTTCAACTAAGAAGGATTAGATTTTCCAAGTCAAAAACCCCAAGGGATCAGAACTACCCTCTGGATGAGGAAAGTTTCGTTAACTGTACTTGATGATACTTTCCTTAAAATGTAAGAGAAAAACAGAAATTATGAAATCATCCTAGAGATGAGCTCAAACAGTAGTTCTTGTACGTTACAACATGGATTGCACATAACGGTGTCTTTAAACATGCGTTACTGAAGCAACCTCAATTAGTAAGGTTCACATATCTTGTTAGACCATCAACTATGTTTCTGATTCTCAGGGAATGATTTCACACATGACAATAAGCCTACATCAAACTAACTACATCATTAACTTGATGTGTGAATCCAGTCATTATTTCTCAATGGAACACTGCCAACATCTAATATAAAACCATAATTAATTTTGTTTCCTGTGTTGCAGACTATAAAGAAAGATCCAAAACTGTTTTCCACATAGCAGCCATTATTATTTTTTATTATTATTATTATTTTGAAATATTTCTGGCCCTCCCACTGCATAGAGGATCTTGGGGTCAAGCATGGGGAAAACAAACAGGGAGAATTTTTTTTCACCTTCTCCAAGCACTACAACCAAGGGTCATTCAGTGAAGCTGATCGGAAAGAAAATCAGAACAAAAGAAAGTACTTCTTCACTCAGAGCATAATTAAATGGGAATTTCGAAATAAACTGGAATCACATTTGAATGTGATGCCAGTGTGAAGGTAACATCATGGTATAATAGATGTCAGTTCTTTTTTCAACGCAGATCAGGGTTTCTCAATCTTAGCAACTTTAAGACATGTGGACTTCAACTCCCATGCTGGCCGGGGAGCTCTGGCAGATGAAGTCCCTATAGCTTAAAGTTGCCAAGGTTGAGAAACAGTGATGTAGATATATAATAAGATAAAAATAAAAATCAATGGTCCAGTCACTGGCACTCAAATTTCTCTGCATCAAAGCAATATTCCCACAACAGAGCTCAAAACATTTTTCTTGTGATAAGTCTGGATGCCCTGTTAGACCTTTTCCCTGTACTGAGAGAGAGATTATAACTACTTTCTGGCATCCTGGGTGTCTGTGGTGTGTTGAAAGTGTCTACTTGGCTGGATGTTATCAACCCAAATTCACTTTTTTATAGTTCTAGGTTGTGTTAAAGTTGCAGCAGATTATGTCAGGATTGTGCCTACTAGAAAAGCTAACCTGATTCCTAGGTACCAAGGTTATGCCTATTAGTCATATGCCTCCAACTGCCCATTAGTCATATGCCTCCAACTGCCCTTCAATGAATAGGATGTCAATTTTAACCTTATATGACTATTTCTGATACTTTATTAAAATTCCAGCAGTAGAAAATATGAAGTCTAGCAACCAAGAAAATGCTCCACAATCATATGGCTGGCGCCCTGTACAACACTTTATGAAATGGTCAGTCTTTCAATAAACAAAATAAGGTCTCCAAAATAGACATATTTTGAAGCAATTTTCCTCTGAGTTTCTGCAGCCTTGTATTATGCAAGTCCTATGTATGCCACCTTGAGCTCCTAAATGAAAAGGGAGATACTGTAGGAAACTACAGAGATGACCTTGGAGATACTACTTGGAGATGGTTACAACATCTGCAAAAGCACGTGCTGAGCCCAGGAAACAGGGAAAGCAATAGGAAGGCTGGCCCCTCCCTGTGGTAGTAGAGGGAGGGAAGGGAATACAGTCAGACTTGCAAGATTGATGTCAGCCCTTTGAGGTTGGCCAGATTAGGAAACAGACTATACAAGATGACTAGAACTACATTTTATTGAGATCGGCTATTGTAACAGAATCTTGCAAACCTGACCATATTCCCTTCCCACCTTTAACATCCCAGGGAATCAGGGAGGTGTCAGTCTGAGTCTCTTCCTAACCCATAACATGTTCTTAAGCTTTCAAATGTGCCCATGAAACTTGTGCAAGGCAGATTTTATCTATATTGACAGGTGCTACACAAGATATATACTTCTCAAGGTAAAGAGGAACTACAGCTTACAGCTATTCACATTGTGTTGTAATGAGGCATATCATACATATCGGGGTGCAAAAATCCAGATAATTACTAGAAGGCAGCCAGGAGGACCTATTTCCTGCCATCTAGTGGTTGTCTGGATTTCTGCACCTTACATATTATATGTCTAATTATAAATTAATGTATGAAGATTAAAGCAGTCACCACAAAGCAGGCAAAATTTTGTCATCACTTTTGAGGAAGTGCTTCACTTGATCCTTAATTGAAGGGAAATTCCATCTTGAAGATCTCCACAGCCCTCTTGCCCACCAGCCCCAAAAAACTTGCATACCCCTAAGCTAGGACAAAGAAAAAATCTATGCCACGATGACAATAACTATCTTCATGGTTTGCACTAAACCCTCATTTGTGGAACAAACCATAGTTGCTGATCTCATCCATCATCCTAACTAAAAGCAAACAAATCACATTATGGCTTACTGATATGAGATCCATTAATTTAAACTCTCTCTTGTTTATCAGCTTTTCAGCAATGAATTTCCCACAATATTATTGTCATAAATATCCAGATCTTTTTCTTTTTTCTTTTTGTAATAACTTTATTAAATTTTTAAACAAGAAAGATAAAAACTAACAAGAACTAATATTTAAGATTAAGGAAGAAAGGAAAATACAGAAAGAAAGAGAGAACAAAGCCAAAAGTACAGAAAGGAAAGAAAGGAAAAAGAAGTATAAGGAAATGACTTCCAATTTTCTTTTACAACAGCTATAGATATAGATTTAAACTGAACTCTTACTCAAGGGTTACAGCATAACTTTCATTTTTTTCTGTTTCACGTAAAAAGTCCAAAAAGGGTTTCCAGTCAGCATTGAACTTAATCAGTATCTTTTCTCTGATCAAAGCTGTCAATTTAGTCATCAGAGCAAGTTCCATCATCTTCACCATCCACTCTTCCATTGTGGGTAATGTCAAATCCTTCCATCATTGTGCATATAAAAGTCTTGCTGCTGTTATCATGTATAAAAACAAACTTCTGTGATTTTTTTCCAACTCTTTGTCATTCAGTCCCAAAAGAAACATCTCTGGCTTCAACTGTATTTTAATCTTTTAAATCTTCTGAATTCATGTACGTATTTGGATCCAAATTTTTTTAGCTTTTTTACACCATCCACCAAGCATGATAAAAAGTCCCGTCTTGTTGTTTACATTTCCAACATATATTTCAAGTACCTTTATGCATTTTAGACGGTTTTTCCAGTGACAAATATCAACGATACATCATCTTATAAAAATTCTCCTTAAGATTATAACATAAAGTAAATGACTCTGCCCACAGTCTCTGCCCTCATGAGATGGGCGGTGTCTAA